TGCGTCTCTTGCTTCGCCGCGCTGGACCTGTGGGGTGGACACCCTTAGTATTTGTTCAGAAAATGTGCGAAGCAAAAGCCAGTTAACCTATTATAAAATAATAAATAGACGTCTACCTTTGTGAAAAAGTCTTGTTCAAAAGAAGTAGCGTTGCGATTCCAGATAAAGTTAGTAGATCGATCCCACACATGGTTAGTTTCAGTACTGTTACTCTTTGCGGCGTTGCAAGTCCGTTCAAAATGCAGTAGCTTGTCTGATTAATTTGTGTGATACCTTGAGTTACTACCAGTATGGTGATCATAGAGATAGTTATCTGAAAGAAGAAATCAGTGTGTGAGGATGCTGAAAGATGTGAGCTGCTGAGAGACTTCTTACAAAAGGGTTGAGAAGAATTTCAAGACACTCCAAGTTCTAAAAGTCGATATGCTTTCTCTGACAAGCTTTCGACGCCTAGCGCCTTTGTCAAATCTGAAACAGATTGAGCAAAATGTATGTACTGCTACCGCTTCAGAAACTTTACGGTAAGATTGCAGAAGATATAAAGGTAGCGTCATCTAGTGACTGCACGAATTAGTTCCTGGACTGGAATAGAGCCGAATTTTCCTTATCTGCATTGGGATTTTTTGATTCCAGGGTCTAGTCAGTTCACCAAGTTTGTGTGTCCTGCTGTTCTGAATTCAATCTTTAATCATTGACACTATCAGATGATTATTGCAGATGGAGAAATAGCTGTATATAACAGTACACAGAATTTCGCAGCAGTACGTGATATTCCGGCTCAGCACCATTCGTCCGGTCATCAAGGTACGTTGAAGCGGCACGAAACCCTAATGTAAGCCTAGTTTCGTTCCGATTTCTTCTACCGACGGTTTTGCTGCCGTAATTTTTGCCAGTTTTTTACTCACGGTGGGGGCGTGGAGTACGCTACCATTTTCCGTAGTAGAGTGCGTATACAATTAGCACAGGAACTTGCTAGTTCTAGTAGTTCCGGAGCCTGCTGGACCTGAATGCGGTTGTACACAGCGGGCTTGAGCTTAGAACTGGAGCATTTTCAGTATTCGATAATTCCCAACTAACATGGGGTGGAACAAATGCGGCCGTTCACGTCAGTCATGCGAATGAAGCCAAATGAGGGCAACCAAGTTCGTGTCCATTCGTGCTCGGCTGAATGGTACCAGCTTTTCTAGGACACAGAAGTGTTTCGCTTTGAGTGACCCTCTTAGCCCATTGTACGGCCATGATCAAAATCTATCACGTTGAATTGAAGTTTCAGGATGAGTTCAAAATGCGAAAGGACTGGACAATTCCGCAATTATACTTCTTCAACCGCACGTGTGAATGTCTATACCCTAAAATCCCATAGATAAGAGCGGTCCATAGATATTTTTTCAAAAATAAAATAAAAATAAAAATATTTTTTCAAAATCATTTTTTACCGGTAAATTAAACCGCTCTTATCTATGGAATTTTACTGATCGAATGGGCTCTTCAAGTTCTATCCAGAGATCAAATTCCGGCATTTCTAGAGAGATTCCGGCAGAAATTCCGTTAAAATCGCTATTTTTCTATATGAATTGTTTATTAAGTGGGCGGGGTTTAGAGTTGAGGGACGGAGCTTCTTCTAAACTTCTTCTCCGATTTTTATTTATCCATCCATCAAGTTAGAGGGGTGACTGCATTCAATTTCAATTTCATTCCAATTCATTTTTCACCGGTAAATTAAACCGCTCTTATCTATGGGATTTTAGGGGTAATTAAAACAGCTAGAGGTAATCTGGACAGTTACGATTCAGATTTAGTTATTACAGTAAGGTGAGCCACAAAATAATATACTCAGCTTCTTTGGGAGTGGTTTTAATGGATATTGAGGATTCCAATTGTTACGCTGATAAGCCGAGCTGCTTTTTTCAAATTTTGTCGCGACAGCTATTTTTTCTTGACTCGCCTTTGCCATCTGCCCGCGAAATCGCTAGCTATCCTTTATTACATTTTACAGCATAGTTTGACTCGTAATCACTAACTGAGAGCGGATCGAAATAGTTCAAAACCCACTGAATCTTATCCCATAGCCAAATATAATTGGAACTCACGGAGATAAGGATGGCGCTTACAGCCAATCTTGGTCCATACAATTCGTAGTGACGCCGTTTCCACAGGGCTACACCTCTTTCGATATTCATAGATACCTGTGTTTGAAGTGAAGAGTTTGAGTGCCATATTCATAGAGTTTGTTTTTAGCTGTCAGCACTGATGTAGTACTCACTAGGAGTTATCAGACCAGTGAGAAGTCTTTGCTTGTTTAATCCTAGACTATTTCCTGCCTTAGTCACTCCTTCGCATGTATTATTTTGATTTAAGCGCTGTCATGTGGAGAGTAATCTGCCTTTTCTTTTGTATGCAAAACAAGCCTTCTGTCGATTCAATGTGTGGCAGAGCATAAAAATCGTGTTTTTCTTCGGTGTCACTTTCAACGTTGAGCCTTAAAGAGATGCGCTGCTGCTGGTTCATAGACGCCGTTTCCGCAGGGCTACACCTCTTTCGATATTCATAGATACCTGTGTTTGAAGTGAAGAGTTTGAGTGCCATATTCATAGAGTTTGTTTTTAGCTGTCAGCACTGATGTAGTACTCACTAGGAGTTATCAGACCAGTGAGAAGTCTTTGCTTGTTTAATCCTAGACTATTTCCTGCCTTAGTCACTCCTTCGCATGTATTATTTTGATTTAAGCGCTGTCATGTGGAGAGTAATCTGCCTTTTCTTTTGTATGCAAAACAAGCCTTCTGTCGATTCGACGTCTGGCAGAGCATAAAAATCGTGCTTTTTCTTCGGTGTCACTTTCAACGTTGAGCCTTAAAGAGATGCGCTGCTGCTGATTCATGGCCGATGTCATAGTTTGCGAATCGAGCGATTCGCTAGCGAATCGCTGGATCCGAGCGTTGCGCCAGCGAATCGAACGTTGCACCAGCGAATCGAACTTTGCACCAGCGAATCGAACGATGCACCAGCGAGTCGAACTATGTACCAGCGACACTGTTTGAAAGTGGCGGGACCCAACGTTCAAAGGAAAGCCGCCACTTTCAAACAGTGTCGAGTCGCTGGTACATCGTTCGATTCGCTGGTGCAACGCTCGGATCTAGCGATGCGCTAGCAAGGGAATCGCTGGATCCGAGCGTTGATCCAGCGATCCCCTCTCGGGATCAACCACACAAGAAACTTCTAGTTTGCCCTTTCCGCAAGACGCAAGATTGCAACAAGATCACTTCAAGGTCATCGATCATATTTCATCGATAATATCCATTTGTTTCTAAGAAAACTTTGGACGCCACTCCTATAAATTAGGGTAGTATTTGCCCGTGGCCTTTACACCCCGTAGCGTAGGCGCTAGAAGTGGTTGCGTCAAAAGAGGGTAATACACGGTTAGAAAACCGCTTACCTAGCCGAACTTCCTGGTAAAAATTGACTGAGGTTTTCACAAGCGGAGCACTTCCTAGTATTGTCTTCCATCTTGGACGGCCTATGGACGACGGCGAGCATCTGTGTTCGAAACATGATACAACAAGACTTCCACGACTTGCACCAAATAGACAAGACATGTTTTCTCCTTTCAGAGGCGCAACAGAAAGGACAGTTTCGTCCAAAGATCAGCACCTGCCGCTTAGCACCGGTGCAGTAACAGTATGATAGTAAAAGCTTCTGGAAAAGATTGAACAACCTGTACTCAATTTTTGAGCTTCGAGAGAGCATCAATTCGTTATTTATAGAGTGATATTATGTTGGTAAGTGGCGCAACGAAGCCAGAATCCGAGTCTAGAAAAAGGGGACATGAGCACATTTGGCGCTTTTGGTCTGTTCTTGTTATGAATTCCTGATTTCTAGTGTTGTGAATCAATATTCCTTATTAGCCCATATGAACCCAGCGTTTTTTACTATTGGTTTAGTTGACTACTGGTATACGTTATCAGCATTTAGTATTATTCGAAAGAAGTAATTACTTATTTTAATAGTAAAATACTATAGTACAGAAAAGACAAATATACAAGAAACAAAATGTTTCGACATGGAAACGATTAAAAAGTGCGCTAAGAGAAACAAGGGGAAGCGTTGGTCAATGAGTTTTAAATTCACTATTTCAAAGAAATTTCAAAAGGCTAGTATTTACATATTTGAGCTCCAGAATCCTACCTTTCCGTTTGTCCTAATGTTTCTAATGAATATCTATATGAGCTGAGCTGCCATTAAAGCCCACTGGTTACGCCGTAAACTATCATGGCTTCAAAAAGTGAAATGGTGCATTATTCAAATTGGTAAGATTCCATCATCCTGGCTATACTTCTGCCATACTTTTGTATGCTCTTCCTCTCATCAGTGTCAGTTTGCAATAATTAATCAAAACATGACTGCACCTTGCGTTCTGGAGTAAGGATGAGGACCTCGTTGGATGAGTCCCCTTCTACCTCCCCAAGAAGAGCGCAATATGTTTGGTCTATTATACGCCCGCATTTACTGCAAATGGTGATTAACGTGCAGTTCTTTTCAGCTTTTATTACTTCTCCTACGTGTTAATGACCTGTGCAAACCTTCAGGTGTATTAAAAAATCAAATACATTGCGGAATCGCTGCGCACACAATCCTTCTATTATATAAAGCGCTAACTTTGTGTGTCGGTTTGTGTATCTGTATGTGTGTGTGTGTGTGTGTGTGTATGTATGTGTGTCCGTCCGCAAAATGAAGTGAGTGAGAAGGAAGCTCATGGGATAAACAAACCGCTAACAAATCGGGTAGCTTACAGGATTTGAGATATCATTTTGTAGCAGGATAGTTGTGATAACACTCTTAGGGCTATATAAACACCTGCTTAGCACACTTCCGTTCATTCCACATGGTGCTGCAGTGGCAGCTGGAGGGCAGTGGGAGAGGAAGGGAGGATGAGGAAGGGAAGCGAAAAATCTACCGTCATATCATGATTGTGTCCCTTCTACTGTTTGAAACACCATTGTGTTGCATACGCGTCACTTCCAGGAGGTGTTGGTGTCACAGGAGGAAGGGACCATAGCGGAGGATAGAAAGCTTGCGCAGGAAAGGAAGGTCCCGGCGGTTGACGGGGGACTAATCTGGTAAAGAAATAAACTAGCGGAGAAACTGACTCCACAGGTCTAAAAGCCAGCACTACTACCGCTGCGCTCTTCTGAATTGAGAATCACTGGCCGATTAAAAAGTGAGTCTCAAAATCAGCGTTCCCAAATGTTACAGGGTTATCCATGTTCTTCTGAATGGTATGTCGACCTGAATAGCTATCCATGTAAGCGGCAGCTGAGGCTGAAGCTTCGTTCATGGGCACGTTTTCAAAACTCACTTGCAGGGCAGAGAACGAGACCATACAACATGCTATTGGGTATCGCAGAGAAAAACATAGCATTGGAGATAATCCTATAAGGCATGGCTCGAAGGTGAAATATTGAATGAGATGAACAGATTGAAAGGAGGGTGAAATTAGAAGATTATTTGACGACTACGCTTTACTTTCATTGCAATACGTATAGGTAACAGTAAGTGACAGTTAGAATGAGGTAGTCTTCTTGACCAAATAGAGCACTGTTCAGAGTAAAGTAAACCAATCCCACGAGCTCTATCTTCTTAAAAATTTCACCTGGGATTTGACATAGTAAGAGACATCTTGTAAACGTGTTCCCATCAGAAGCACCTTCTCCCTTAATTTATTGGGATGTATCAGGTCCGATTTCGAGCCCCACTTCACAACACCACTTCCATATCGAACAAGACCGTTATATGTAGAGGAACTGGATTACAGAATTAAAATTTTAAAATATCGTGGAGAAGTACTCGTAGCTACCAGGCCATGTTTTCAGTTGAGTGTGATTTAGTGTTCTTGCTTTTCTAACTGATGATTGTGCTGAGGCGTCAAAATAGACGGAATTAGACGAAAGTGCTCTAGGTGAGCAATTTCATTACTCTAAATATGTAGATAAGGTGTTAGGTGTTCCTCGGTGTTTTTGAAGTTTCTGCGCTGACACTAGATTTTTTGTGAATTGCTACAATAACTCACATGGAGAATTATCAGCAGAATAGAGTGCAGCATGTAGAGGTAAAGCATAGTTGTCAATAAAATCTGAAAAAAAAACAATGGTAATTCCCGTGGGCTTTGTCTTGGAAACCGATGCTATGGGAATTTCTTTCTTTCAGTTCTAGATCGAGGTGCTGCAGGGCGGTGGAGAGAGGAGAAGAGGGTCGAGAAGAAACAAAAACTACCAGCCGCCAAAAAACCCAAGGAGAGGCTGAGTGTCCTTTTGCGTCATGCCACTACATATTTAGTGATGCCTTATAATATGTACCCTTTTTCTGCAAAGTAGATCCTCCACGAGGTGAAGAAGGTAGAACGGCGCGTGGCGTAAATTCTACGTGTGGGGAGAATCCGGCGGCCGTGGGACAAATTTAGTGGGAAAAGGTTGAAGCTGAGTCGCAATACATAGTAAGATTGGCAAGGTCAGAATTTGTTATGATACTCAATTCGGAACGGGTCGATACCAGGTAGCGTGTATGTCACATTGCAGTCTTCTTGGTGGCTGACAACCTAACGTCGGCACACACATTTCGTTCACATCGATATTGCTCTGCATTTTACTATGTAAGTGAACAGATCTGGAGTCAACCAACTTATCCTGATGTTTATGTGAAAGTACCACTGACTACACTTCCTTGCTACCAAAATATTCAGAACAACCGAAATGATACTTGCTAGGAGCTGCAGGAATACAGTAGCCAAAAACCACTTGCTTCGTATCAGTTCCACCGTTTCTTCGCACGTCATCTTGAATACAAGAAAGTGTTGACATTCATTCAGAACTGTGGCAAAGCCTCATGAGCCTAGAACTTGGTTGTATTCACAGCTAAGCAAAAGACAAATAGTAAGGGATGAGGAACATTATTCCGACGTACGCAGCGGAAAAGGAACATTATGGGTTTAGCAATACTGCACTTTTGAAGAAAAAGCGATAACTTCAAGCGAGTTCGTGGATATTTTGTACAAGTGTGGGAAGGTAGGATGTGAATTGCGTGGGTGGTACCTCCATAGAAACCCCATTCTGAATAGAGTTGGCTAAGGAAATACTATCACACGCACTGCCGTCAACAGTTTCTTTCACGATAGTGGTTCAATTGTTGAGAAAAAATTTGGAACGAAGCTACATAGGCAATCTATC